GACGAAAGTGACTTGCATATAAAGTTATTATGACTAACATTATAGTAAAGTTTAATGAAAAGATAGTTTTCTTAACTACAATTTACAGCAATTATTTCTCTAAGCGATTATAGCTATAAATATTAAAAATTTTTTTTCTCAGTATGTGATCGTGTTCTCGTGTATATTCGAAGAATCCTTATTATCGATACAACAGCGAAGGAACGCCTCGGGGGCGAGTTCCCGGCTAGCCCCTGAGCCGCTATGGGGTTCTACGTATACGCGCTTCGATTATATGCCCCTTTATTCCCTCTTTGCGTTGCGGGGGCATGTCATTTGCGGGCGCAGGGTGGGCGCAAGTGGGAGGCGACGAAAAAAATAGCTTTATGTCACGAGGGATCATTACAGACTTCTTTTTTTCTAGAGGGGTCGAAAAGTGGCAGGGTCAGGGATGACCCCTGACCTTGCGCACAGTGCGGTGGTCGTTTGCCCTGACGACGACGATGACGACAACGACGGCGACGACGACGGTCGTCGTGTGTGCAGGCCATTCTCGGCATATCGAATCGCGTATCACGCGAATAAAAGAATCGCGCACCTTCGTCGCCCGCCGCGTCCGGCGAATCCCTCCCTCGCGTATATCGCGCCGGAGGAAGCTATTCCTTCTCGCGCGGAGGACGCGTGGGACGAAAAGCTGTTCGTTACGCGTTTTTGTTCGAGACGTCTACACGGATCCGTCCTTGTTAACACACGCTCGCGAGACAGCGAGAATCGTTCGGAAATCGCGGCGTTTCGTATCGGTGATTTTAATCTCGACACGGGAGATGCACACTGATCTACAAACATATTGCTGTACACTGAGGAAACGTTGTAGTAAAAATTGCAACAAAATTTTCTGATTTTGGACCATATAGAGATTATTATCGAAATTACTATATATTTGTTTAAAGATTTTAAGTACGTTTGGCTTTCTACCATAAAATTATTATATTACTATATACTATATTATTTATATATATTTTATATATTTTATATATATATATATTTATATATATATAATAACCATATTACTATATACTATAAAATTATAATTATTTGAATGATTTTTGTATCGTATGTTCGATATAAATTTATTATTTCCATAATAATTTATATATACCATAATGTTATAGTATTGTTTAACTTTGTAAAAAAATATTGTAAAATGAAATATAATCTTAATATATAATTTTTATATCTTTCCCGTGTGAATACGCCAGTGAAAACATCCAACATAACGATATTTGACTGGAAACAAGTTGGGATGCAGTTGTTATTAGGATATATTATTGTGTGTGTATGTGTGTGATATTTATTTATATAAAAATTATATATAAATTTATAATAAATTAATGTTCTGTCGAGTGTGCTTCAGTACACTTTCCGTGGTATCTGTAAATTTGTATTTTTCTAACCGACTTTACTACAAACTTTTAGTAAATAATTAAAAGGCGCAAAATAAAAAAAAAAGAAATAAAAACATTTACAAAACTTAACAAAAATAAACCGCCTTCAATAGTCTCAAAAACTTTAAATGTATAAAATAATTTTGAATCAATATAATATTGAGTCAAAATTATTTCATATTTTTTGGAACTTTTGAAGTTTCTGAAGACGGTTTATTTTTCTCCTAAAAGTTACATTTGTATTGTGCACGATATTTCATATACACGCACTTCAATTATTTGCGTTGAAGCTATTTTTATTTTTCTAAAGCAACATCACTCATAGATATATTTCAATAATAATTGCGTCTCAGTACATTTCCAATTAAACATCGCCATATTGGATGCTCACAACTAGCTTGCTGCGTACTGCTTGCTGCAGCCTTCTATTCACCTGGCTTTTTTGCCAGACTCTAATGTATTGCATATTTAGTTGTAAATAGGATGTCTGACAGCGATTATATATAAAACCCCCGCGTATGTGCAAGTTAGATCAAACTGAACAAAATTCCTCTGCGATTTTGCAAACAACAACGTAAAATTTTATGTTATTGATTAAAGGAGATTGGCGAATAATCATGCGCGATCGTTCGCCAATCTTCTTTAACCAATAACTTAAAAATCTAGGTGGTTATTTGCAAAATGGTGGACGACTTTTCTTTCTGTTCAGTTGATCTAATGTACACACACACACACACACACACACACACATATATACAGGGTGTCTCACACTCTCCTCCGGGCATTTTGTGGAGACGTAGAACAGGTTGAGGTGAACATAAAAGTCCTATACCGTTTTGCGATATTCGCAATAATTATCGAGATATTAATTGTAGAAAATTTGTGAATGATCATGCAGGATATGGTAAATGAGTTATAATAGCGACGACTGCCGTCGTGTACTTATACTTTAGATCAAATTGAACAAAAAAGTCTTCTACCATTTTTCAAATAATCACATAGATTTTTAATTATTAATTAAAGAAGATTATTGCACGATTTTGCGTGATAATGCACTTATTTTCTTTAATTAATAATTAAAAATCTATGTGATTATTTGCAAAATGGTAGAGGACTTTTTTGTTCAATTTGACCTAAAGTATAAATACACGACGGCAGTTGTTGCTATTATAACTCATTTACCATATTCTGCATGATCATTCACAAATTTTTTACAATTAATATCTCGATAATTATTGCGAATATCGCAAAACGGTATAGGACTTTTATGTTCACATCAACCCATTCTACGTCCCCACTAAACGTCCGGAGGAGAGTGTATATATATATACATCCTGTACATATATATATACGTACATACATACATACATACACACACAGAGTTTTATGTGTATCGTCAGACAGTCTATGTAGAAACCAGTGGAACAGTCTGACGGGAGAGATTTTTTGACTTTGAGTTGACACACGCTCCAGCCCCGGGCACAGGCCGACGCGCGGAAATATAAGTAAAAAGTTGGCTGGCTTATTTCTTTCGGCGGTCGCGAATCGCCTTTCCTTGCTCAGTTGCGCGTGTCGAGCGTGTTAACAATGTTCTTCGTCCGCGAGACGTTTGTTCGGGACGATTTAATCCAAGAGCGGCCGACGAACCCGGGGCCGGCGTGCCTCGCCGTGACATTTCGGTACACGTCGCAGCCAGGACAACGGTCGCGATAGTCACGGAAGAGCGAGGAGGATCCGGAGGAGAGGCGGACGAAGGACGAGGCGACGAGGAAGGCGGCGGGCGCAGGTCGTTTCGATCGGATGTCGTTTTCACGCTCGGCGCCGTGTCTTCTCGAACGTGGCACATTGTTTAGTCGATACGTCACTTTCTCGGATCGCCGTGTAGCCGAACGAACGAACGAGCGGCAGGATCCGTAATTCTCCAGAAAGTGTAACTGCGTCCTCCTTCTCTTTCTCCTCTTCCTCCTCTTGTTGCTCCTGCCTCACCACCCTTCTCGGCAGCCTCGCCGGCCACGTCGTCGCGCGGCTCCCGTCGTCCATTTCACCCCTCGGCATCGGCGGTTCTTCGATTCGCAGCGAACGACCGGTGCGAACTTCAAAGCGAGGACGTCTCATTATTGGACTTCCCTTCTCCTTGACACTATCCCCAGCCCGACGACCACCCACTTTCCACCTTGTTCCTACAGTTTGTCGAAGAACCCGACTCCCACCCGATGGGGATACCGTGACCGGGCGATAATGACGACGCCCGGTATAATTGGATGCCCGTCAAGGGCGCGGGAGCTATATGAAACGTCGCGCGAAGCCGCGAGCGCTCTCGGGTGGTGCATGACACGCGCGCCCGTATACGATGGAATACCGTTATTGAATTTTTGTAACGTCGTGCAATGGAGACGCGATGATTATTTGCGATGGGAGTTGCGAATGCACTGGATCCGCTATCGTGGATCAAATGATCCTTTTCTTAAAAAGGACGCGCTATCTTATTGTTGCCGCCATGCTGGTTGGCTATTTCCATCACGGCGTGAGTCACTTGAATGGTAACCATGAGCGACCATTATCACGCGTTATGCGTTTTGACAGTTTACATGTCCTGGGGGTTAGCTGAGCCCCTTAGCTCTCCCAAGACGCCATGGCGATGGCATTTCAAATTTCTTATAAAACTGAAATGCTGCGATAACGCCTTTCGAATCCAAATCTAAACTAGCTGACGTTACACTGCAAATCCGAGTGTATTATTTTTAAACGCAAAAGCGTGTAATTGACTAAACTCTTCTTACACGTCTCTTGCGGTTTTAAATCACGTCATTGAACACGTTTATGATGTATAAATTAGAATTTTATAGGTTTGAGCGTATTATATGACGCGACTTGAGATGGTAAGAAACATGTAAAAAGAGATTCCTATAAAAATAACACACTCGGCAGTAAAATTTCGTTTTTCTTTTTTTATTTTGTTTAAATTTAACACATTTTGCATGTCTTAACTTGTGCGCTCTAATTTCTGTGTTCATTCAACGCAAGATAAATATATAAACAAATAACCCAAATTATCCGTGCTTTTCATTAAAATTTGTTTAATTCACATACAAATTGTGTTATGTTAATATTTAAAGGTGATGAATATAAACTTAATATAGAATGATCAAAATGACACAACGATAATATGTTAAATTAATACATGAACATGTTAAAAATTTAACAAAAAATTTCTACAAGGATCGATTTCAACACAAATACAAAATATTTTTTATATATAGTTTTAGAACTGTTGCGCGCGATAACCAAAAAATGTAGCATAAATTTCATGAGAAATCTTAAATGGCCTTGAAGAATACAAAGGGTAATATTGTAAAATAATATACAATGTTACAGCGAAAATATGTATTAAATTAATCTTGCCCGTTGCTTACTTGGACGGTAACCACGAGAGCAGCTGTCACGGCTAAGATTGCGTCTTGGCGGTTTGAAGAGGACGGTTGAAGGAGGAGGGGATTAAATACTATAAGATAATGTATAATATCGATATCACACGCGAGATGCTGAGAATATTGAATTAACGTAACGGTACCCCCTCGAGATCGTCTCACCGGCAGAGGTCACGTGGCCTCGGGGACAATAACGTACGTATGTATAACTGCCGAGCGATCATAACATTCCTTGACGCGAAGGTAAACGGATCGGGAGACGTAGCCCGTGATTGCCGATCTTTCCGGTTTGCGTGAGACTTGTTATATTGCGCGTTACTGATTATATTCGCGTGTGTGATCATAGTGCTGCGATCATCTTGCAGCGGCAGTATCCCGTGGTCTTGAGGGTAACTACTTTGCATCTTGATCAGTTCAGAAGAGAAATATCAGTCTCGAGCTTCTCCCGATGCTCAGACATCCGTTCATATAACTAATCAGGAAATTCGCTTTTTGTTTCAGATCAGTCGGAACTTACGGCCACACGGTGGTTGCAGTTCTCGGGGAGGCACGTGGATGCCTTACCGGAGGATCCGGTTCGGACCAACTTGAAGGTAGGTTGATAGACTTCCCGTATTTGAATTGAATCTTTTATGTGCGATCGAAAATTGGGGCTAGTTCTCCAAGTAAAAGTTGCTGAGTTACAACTGTCGCAAAAGGTTAACACGCTCGTATCCACGCGCTTTTTCTTATTACACCGTCTTATTTAACCAGTTTTTGTGTCTAACCAATGACGTTCTATTTCTTTGTTCCAGATTTGTAGCAGAACGTGGCCGATCCTAGGTTGGCGGTATTTCGGTGAGTTAGAAACAAAAATTTAAGGTGATGGGTTTATTGGTAGTCGATGCTTTCACGTAAAATTAATCACGTGAATTTACTTAGCTTGTAAATTCTTATATATTCACTGAGAGAAAAAAATTATTAATTTTATTACTAATTATAGTCTAACTAATTTGCTCTAGTCATATTTTTTGTTCTAAGAAAGTAGTAACAATAAAGTATTTATATGAATTAACAAGTATAAACATGAATTTTTTAACTATAATTATTTTATCATACGATTACAGTCACAAATGCCAAATTTTTCTCTCAGTGTAGGGGTTTTATATATATATGTATCCTTGCCATCCACTGCAATATAATCCTCGAAACAATCAGGGGATCGTTTCTTTCAATATAAACGTTTTGTTTACCAGATGTTTGAGCTGTGAAATATTTTCCACTTAAAGATACATCTCCTGAATACTGTTTCCCATTCATTCAGTGTGATCCCCCAACTGTTTCAAGCAGTGCCAAATGTCTATTAAAATTTGCGCCTCAAGATGGCGCATCAAAATTGCATCACACGATTCATGATTATTTATTTTGTTCACGATAATTTAGCAATCAATACAATTGTCAATTTTCGGATTTTTTACACGTGACAATTTATGACGTCACCTTTCTCGAGACACAAAATTCAATATGAATATTTATCGTATTTATTTAAAGGAGTATGTTAAAATTCGCACAAAACAAAAATCTCATTTCTCGTCAAAGTACAATTCTTCGCGAAATGAAATGTTTTTTCCTCTCAATATTATCAAACGCGACGTAGTCTCCGACATACAGTTTGTTTACATGTGAATGTGTTGTCTAAGCTTCGGGATATATCGTACTTTTCGCTAAATCATTAAGTACCGTTGAAACGATCGCGATTGCGAATACAGTGTAGTAAAGTAGTAGAATATAAGTGCGATTTACGTGGGACAACGCGACTGGACGTCGCGGGATATCAATGCGAAATGGTGAGTGCACAATTTGAACAAGAAAGCGTCATATACGCATGCATTCTAAATCGCATTGAACGCCGATGACAAAAGTCATTGCACGATTGAAAGTTTAAATATACGTATTTAAAAACCATAATATGAAGAATATCCAGGATTAGGTATGTATCCGGGAATTGGTACTTTTATCTTAACAGTGCGAGATTATTCATGAAATATTCAAGGATTAATATGGCGCGAGAAAACGCGCGTCTGTAGCGTGCAGCCACCGCAAAAAGCAAAAATATCTCGAGGATAAAGTACGCCGCTTGAACTTTTAATTATTACTTAGCTGCAAATGAAAGCGGTTGTACGTCGAGAAAAGCTGACGTGATCGCGCAGTGACACGTGTCGCTTAAAATCACACGATTGACAGCGTTTAAGCATGAAATGCGGCGATATTGTCTATCGATGGCTCTCTGCTTGACTTTCTGCAACTCGATCGAAACCAGCGCAAAACCAAACGAATATTTGTTAGAAGTAAACTGCATTAAATTACATAGGCGTAACGTTGGCACGCGTCGAGAAATCGATGCGGTTCATAAGCAGCGACATAAATCATTGAGCAACCGAACGATACGATTTTGTGTCCATAGAGGTAATACATTTATAACTATCGATCATGCTATGGCCAGTCGCATAGTCAAACGACGCCTCGTCGTCACGATTTCTCTATTTAAACTGCATTTTGTCACGGATTTATTTTCTGACTATTTGCCCTCCGTGATCTCTGATCGTGCGCGATTATCAATTGAGTAACACTCCTCGAACACGTATCACTGGGAAATAAATATATCTAAAAAGCAAAAAACATTAATTTTCTCTCTCTCTCTTTCTCGGCGGGTATTAATAACATATATTTACTCAAATTTAAATTATTTTCATTAAATGGAATAAATGATTGCTTTCGTGAAAAGCTAAAGAGTTGTAAAGCTATTTGAAAAATATTTTTTATGTTAAGTAAATACGTTATTAGAGAGTTCAGTTTCACTGAATATTCTTACTTCTTAGATATCTTTTTCTTTCACTGTATACGTGTGACCCTCGATAACAATCGCGAAACTCAACAATAATATTAATAAGTACAAAGAGAAGCGGAGGATGCGTTTATGAATTTTTGTCGTGTGGCTTTTAAAAAATAAAAAACATTCATTTAGTAGTTACTCTCTTTCTCTCTCTGTAGTAACATATTTATTTAAATCTAAATTTTTTTCTTTGAATAGAGCAAATAATTACTTTCATGGAAAGCTAAAGAGTTTTAAAGTTATTTGGAAAATATTTTATGTTAGTATAAGTAAATACATTATTAGATAGTAGATAGTTTCCACTGAATAAATATTTCTTACTTAGATATTTTTTGCTCTCAATATATACGCATGATCTTCGATAATAATCGCGTGATTCGACAATAATATTAATAAAACAAAACGAAGCGGAGAATGCATCTATGAATTTAGCCGCGTGACTTTCGTCCCTTCCAAGACGCGTGTTGGAATTTATTCTCTGTATGGACGCAACGCGGATCAACAGTCGCGATGCGCTTGCATTTGCATTGGGGTCGCGCAGGGAAGCTGAGGGATGGTCGAACGTACCACGATCGAAGTCGCAGAGACTTTGAACGAACGCACCAAAGCGCGATTTCGAATTACCTTGACCGCAAAAAAGGAGGTGATTTTGCAGGGAGTGACTAGTCGAGTTACTCAGATAGACAGGTGCACGTAAATTTAGCTACACAGCTTTATACTAGTCCATTCGTAAAGGTTATGTCCCTTGTGAGCGCTTCATACATTTACTACACATACATATAGAAAAATATTATTCTCTAGTGCTGAGATTATCCAGCAGTACTAAGCGATTACTCAGTTTACTTCCCTTCTTTTAAGTAATGATTATCTTTAAGAAAAATTCTCTTGATAATATTTATATACTCAAATTAACGATGGAAGCTTTACAATCATATATGATAAGAAATATATTCATCGCATACAATGTGCATACAAATTTTAGAAAATTTCATTATCAGTTCATATATTGTTACCTTCTCAAAAGAAGGATTTATTCTTTCTGTAAAATATTGTAGAAATTTCTTGAAGAAAAGTCGAGTCGATTCTATGCAGTAAATAAATCTAATTTTTGTATTTTGAATAAATTTGATACTGATGATGATCGTATGATAGATTTCTGGATATATTTCTAAAATACTTGAAACAAATAACATTTATTTGGGCTACATTTTAAAATGTTCCTTTTGAAGAAAATTTTATTGAAAATCCATAATGTATGGATAATATAACATGAACTACAGATTTTCAGTAAAATTGTCCACAAATATATTTTGAAATACAAGCTTGAAAGCATGTAGTTTTATATGTAGTTTTTTATATAGAATAACAAAATAGAAGCACGAAAAAAATGAAAAAATTTGTCCCGAATAATATGTCATGCAAAAATAATATAAAAATTTGAATGTAACTTTTAGTGAATTTGCAGCTGTATCAAAATGCAACAAAAAGAAGTTCAATTTGCCTCACATTTTTTTCATAAATATAATAAAAAAATTGTAGAGCTTCCATCGTCGATTGTCTCACATCGTGATAATCGTGAAAAAATCTATCTCTCCGAATAGATTCGAAGTCGGGGCTAATTTCGCAGGTGACGAAAAAAATCGCGCACGTGAAAACGAGAGAAGAGTCGCGGCGGGAGAGAAAGAAAAAAAAGAGGAAGACTCGTGCGCAGCTGGAAGGGGGTCGAAAAAGTAATCAGGATGCTGGGAGCAGTGCCGGGGAGGGTTCGGCGGACGCCCATGAAAACGAATTACAGCGATTTAAAGTTTCACCTCCTCGTCGCCGACGACCACCCCCATCCCTGCCTCCCATTCTTTCTCTTCCCTCGTGGGACATGACCGTTCTCCGCGCTCATTCCGCGCGGCCCTCCGGCCAGTAGCTTGTTTCGAAAAGATGACAGGAGGAAAGAAAACAGTGTCACGCCGGGAGATAAATTCGCGTGGTCGCGGGTGAAAAGTTTGCTACAACCCCCGCGGAGCGCTCTCGCGCTTGCTTTCGCGCACGAGTGAGCGAGCTAACCACGACACGTCGTAACGGCCGTATTTGTCCGAGCACATTGTAAATTCGCCCAGCGGTCTCGCGGAACGTAATCTGGGAGCTTCGGCCGCGTAATCGTATCCGGGTCACCCCGGGGGAACACAGGTGTCCGATAGAGCCACGGTAAGTAATGCGTCGGCGATCAAATTCACGATCGCAATCAAGACACGCCTCGATACGGAGGTATCGGCTGTTTCCTGTGAGATAGGCCGACCCTTGTCCCCTCCTCGTCGTTATCCTTGGCTAACCTCCGAAGTTTATATCGCACCCTCGCGATCGTTCTCAGATATTTCTCGAGTACACGACAAATTCAAGCGTATTATTTTGGCTGAATCTCTTCTCACATGTTTCTTACCGCTTTAAGTCGCATCGTTCAACACGTTTAAACGTATTCAATTGCAATTGGCACGTCTTAAATAAGTTAGATGACACGAACCGCAAGAAACATGCAAAAAAAGTTTCAGCTAAATTATTCACTTATGTTGTGTTAGTTATCCTTATGTTATTTTAGAAATAACGCACTTACACGGAAAAAAGATGCCTGGTTGAATTAACATCACGTGTTTGGTTAAGCAAGTTTTGGTGAAGATAAACAGACTCTCTCGTTATTATAACGAAATATTCTGATATATAAACAGAATATATTTAATTGTAGTATCAACTAGAATTTGGTTACTATGTATGTAGTAATGACATCCATGTGTCTGGTTATTATGACTACATATAGCAACAGAGCAAGGATTAACATGACATGTTTAGTTAAATGACTGTTGGTTCAACTAAACAGAATTTTTGGTTATTATAATCACATGTTCTAATGTTCATCACTGATTACAACATCGATAGACAATACATAACTAATCTATTAATTAGCTATAGTCGTGCAAGA